AAAATCCACTAGAATCGGCTGATTTCTCGTGATTTTACATGACATCATGATCTGCAGAGGTCACACATTTTTGCAAAACGCAATAAATAATATCAGTAATAAAAATCAAATGCTTAAAATCATTTGTAATTATAAAAATCGTTAAGATTACCCCAGAGTGAACCTCTAAAGTTCAGTTGTGTTATTACCGCAACCTGAATTTACATAACCCTAAAAGTTACAATACTAAGTGCTGCTCGTTAAGCCGATATCATGCATGACAATTCGAAACAAGTAATAATTGATAACTTAACAAATTACAAACAAAATCAAAATTAAGCGATGTAAAGAATTTTTAGTAGTATAGATTTTTGATGCTGTTATTATATAACATTATGTCTTGTATTAAAATAGCCTTGTAGTGTTTTATGTGCGTCGCATAATTTAATTCACAAATTTTAATTAGTGATCAATTTAATAAGATCACGTTTCTACAAAGCTCTAATATTAACTAAACTGCAAAAATGCTTATATTGTCAAAATTAATAATCCTATAATCATTTTGCCGTTTAACCATTTAACCATAATCATTCGTTTAAATGCAATTAATATGCTGATCTGCACGGACTACCAAATAATAAAAACCAATGAGTTATAATTCCGGTCAAAATCAAATCATTTGGTCCAGATCTGGTCAAATGATCAACAATTTTTGACCGGAATTATACCTTATTGGTTTTCATATTAGATCATCCGATATTCCAGTATTCGTTAGGAAAATCAACATAAGTTCGGAATATAAAATTTTCTTATAACATAACACTAAATAGTTTCTTTTTAATATATGAGTGCTGCCAAATTAAAACTTATTTATATTTAAGTTTTCACGAACTTAATTTTGAAAAAAAAATTATAATATTGCACAAATATGATCAGTTCATCATAGTAAGAACTTGAATGTTTCATTTTCAGGTTTTAATTTGGCATCGCATCGCTCATAAAGTTATACTGCCTGAATCTGCCTAAACGTTGATACGGTTTAAATAACCCTACGTAAGGCATAAACTATTATTAAACGATTTATGTATAAGATTTAAATATCTTACTTTTTTAATCGTATAATATAAATAAACAACGTTAAACGAATAACAGTTCCAATCCTTACATACAAAACGAAACTTACATTAGTAAGACTTGTAAATAATTTCGTAATCTATTTTACCTTCTTACATTTGTCTCTTAATGATTTCTACTTTTATAAATTTATTAAAAGATGATTCTTTGTTTATACACGTAAAATTGAGGGTTTTGTTTGATGTGGCTATTTTGTGTACAATAATTTTGCATTAATTGCTTATTTTTATATGGTTTATATCGATTATACTCTTGTATAAAATCGATTCATTCTATTCGCAATAGTCACTAAATAATATGTTTACATATGATTTCAAATTTTTTTTCATTATAATGAGAGAATATTATTAATTACAATTAAGCAATACGTATATATTTCAAATATTCCCAAGGTATTGTTACATTGAAAAAAAACAAATTCTTATAGTATAGTATTAGAACCCTTTAATGAGTTTAAACTTTTTTAAGTTAAAACTTCTTGTGATTTTGTTTATGTTTATAAATCAAATTATTGCTGTCATCAGTTATACTTTATTTATTTTACTTTATTTATTTTACTTTATTTATTTTACTTTATTTATTTTACCTTATTTTATTTTTAGATTTTGTATTACAGTTACGAGTCACTATAATAGGTATTAAATATTCATATGATAAATTAAAATTTACCGATAATCTGTTTATTTTTTCTCTTGGGAAATTTCTATTTTTTTTAATTATCTTTTTTTTATATATATTAATTAATCCTGTAACAAAACTAGCTTAAAAATTTTTAATCGAACACAGCCCATTTGATTGTCATTATAATCAGGGCCTTTCATTAAAAATTAATACAAATAGGAATTAAAATGACATCTATATAAATGTATAATACGTCGTAACAAGTTTGGCGCCTAATTTCTAAATTAATAATTTTTATTATCAAACTAATGTTTGTAAAGAAAAAAATTAATCTTTTTTAGAATTATTGCATAAAAAAAAATTTCAAACACTTAGGATAATCCGAAGGTGTATGACCAAGGTAAATAAAGACAAGACTTTCATTGCAGATATGCATGATTTTGAAGAACAACGCAGATAATTTTTAACTTTTACTATTGGTTTTACTATTGGTTCGGCATAAAATTAATATTTCAAAAGATCTTACAACCACGTTTACGTTTACATCTATGTAAATATCTACCTTGATTTAAAAATCTAAAGATCTTTCCTTATTCTAACAATCTGGAATGTGGAGTTTTTCAAGTACATTAAATCATACGATAAACTGAAAATTGATTTATCATACGATGAATTTGTTTAACAGAGCTGTTACCCGGGTCTAAAAGTAGCGACCCGGGTCAAACCCGGGTTAAAAATTTTCAAATCGGATTATGTAGTCACATAGGTCAACATAGACAATTTAATAAATATTTTAAATTTGATTATCTTGTTCAACCTTTGAGTTATTTCATTTTCTACAACCCAATTTAGTAGAATTTATTTAATTGACCCGTTTGAGGCAATTTTTGACGCGTGGCCCGGAATTTAGTAGAATTTATTTAATTGACCCGTTTGAGGCAATTTTTGACGCGTGGCCCGGACTCGTACGGGTCAACTTGATCCGAGTAACAGCTCTAGTTTAACAGTTAAAAGATTTCGATTAACTAAACATTTAAAAGCATCATTTAAAAAATTAAAAAGTAAATTCATCTTTCTTAATATATTTTGGAAGTAAATAATTATTGTGTTTTGCATAATTTTGTGACCCATATGATTATATAACGTTTTGCAAAAAAGATGTGACCTCATGATTATGAACGAAGAAAATTGTTTATTAATTCATATTTTCGATCATTTATAGTTATATTTATTTGAAATTGGTACAGCACTATAAGATTCTTAAAATCTACAGAAATCTCTGATTTTCACACGGTATTGCAATGATTTTTTTTTTTATGATCAAATGATCAAATGACTATGATTGCGATCGCGATTGCCAATTTATCATAAATCTGAGCTTGACACAAATTCAGATTCTTGATAAATTGGCTGGCTTTAGCAATCGCGATCGCAATCACAGTCATTTGATCATAAAAACATTTTCAATGAAATTAAGATAAGTGATCTATTTTTTTTAAACTGATTTTTTCAATATTAAAGCATTTTTAATGAGATTAAGAAAAATGATCTATTTAAAAATGACGCATAAGGTAATTATTTCTTATTGATCTTAATACTGTACAGTAATATTAAGTCATAGAGTGATAACGATGAGCGCGATCACGAAAAATTCAATAAAACATTAAAAGGATACGTTACCGCACGTGTAGTGTGTAAAAAAACTTTAAAATTTGTAAATCTTGTAATTCATTTACTGTATGAAAGAAATACGAGATTATCGTAAAGTCCGAATATAAGAAATCCGCAATAACTCAATTTTAATGAAACAAAATAAATAAACATAAGCAACAACCCTTTTAAATTGCTAAATACAGTATAATAAAATTAACGTTAATAATTTTATTGAGTATTTCAAGGTTACTAAACTTAAACTTAAGCAATCCTTTTAACAACCAAAATAGGTGGTTTAAAGGGTTGCTTATATTCGATAATTAGACTTTGTAGCGCGTGCGCAAACCAAATTTTAAAACTTTTGTGCATACATCATGTACGAATATATTAATGTATGAATGAATATATTAATGAATGTATTTATGAATGAATTTGAAAAATCAACAAATTTTGTCAAACATCTTAAAAAAGTAATTAGTAGCATTCGTATTTAAATAAGTTTTTCATTCATTCCAAAGTTTTGTTTCTTTCTTTACGATCATGCATATAAAAAAATCCATAACATTACATATTACATAACATCACATAACACCACATTAAGACCACATAAACACCACATAACGCCACATTAAGACCACATTAAGACCACATAAACACCACATAAACACCACATAAACACCACATACCACGCGATTTTAATATTCCAAAGAATTCAAATAAAACATATTACGAAACAGGAAAATGAATTTTTGCGCATCATATTTTTTTTTTTTTATTTTTGGAAAAAATAAATAATGTTCCAGAACCAATGACGCGTATAATATGTATACGCGATCTATTGGTTTTCGTTGGTAATAATATATATAATTTTTTTTTTTGATCCAATAATCAATATATGTATAAAAAAAAAAAAAAGAAAAGAAAAAAGAAAATTCTATTTACAAAAAGAAAAAAGAAGATTTATCATCATATACTTTTTTTGTTTTTGGTTTCATTTCGTATTCCAAGAAACTCCAAAAGAAAAGAAAAAAGAAAAAAAAATTAAAAAAATTGTTTTTTTTTTTTTGATTGTTGTTGATGATAATAAAGGTTGATAAGTAAATATATAGAAAAAAAAAACGTTGCCTTTTATTTTCCACATTATAAACTCATCAAAAAATTTATTCATGTAACTATAATCAAAATAATAATGATTTCCAAAAATCACAAAAAAAAAAAAAAAAGAATCCCAAATAATTAATAAAAATAAAAAGGTTTAACCAACAACGGACCCAAAAAAAAACTCAAATACACTAGAAAAAAAAAATCCTCAGGATTAATTTTAGGAGATTAGTTTGATATTAAAAAAAAAAAAAATTGAAATTTGATAATATATATTTTTTTTTATATAGTCAAAGTTATAGGAGAAGGTATGATATTTTTTTCAACAGAACGAACACCAATGATATTTGTAAGTTTTGGAAAAGAACAACCTCTTCCCGAATATTTAAATTGTTCTTTAAGAACAAATAAAGGTACGTCATCTTCATCTTCTTTACCAGAATCATCAGAATCATCATTATAATCAGTTAAAGAATTATTCAAAGCTGAATCCAAATATATAATCGATTTCGTTATAGATGTAGTTGTTGATAATTTAATTTTATTGGTATGATCTACGGAATCCGTAAGAGTAGTTAATGATGATAATGAAGATGTTGATGATGATAATGATGTTCTTGTAAGAGTATTAGTATTACTAATATTACTTGAAATACTATATTTGCTTAATCTTTTTCTTCTACGAGCAAGTGGTAAATCTTTGGTGACCAATTTATTTAATGTTTCATCAAATATTGTCAAGACTTTTGTTGAAGCATAGGAAGGTCGATAATTCATTACGATTGGTGAATAAGAAGGTTTAAATTCGGTTAAAAAATTTGATATTCTTTTATTAGTCGAGAGTTGACAAGTTGATGATGATTTTGAAGTTGTTGATGTTGATGATGATGATGATGATGATGATGATGAACGGCCTGAAAATCCTGAAATTATTGGTAATTCAGTAATACATAAAGATAAAGTTGACAGCCTTGAATTAATTGAATTTGATCGATAAGGTGAATCATTTGTTTCATTTTCATCTGAACGTTTTTTATTGTTTAAAGAATAAACAAAAGTCTTGTATCTAACTAATTCTTCACGTTGAGGATCAGAAAATTCTGGAGTATTTGAAAGTTTTGTTATCGTGCTTCTTAACATAAAAACTTGATAAAAAGGTCTTGGACGATTTCTAGTAGCAGAACCTATCTTTCGCAAAGTTCTTACATAAGCGAAATGTTCAACAGATCCACGAACGATAAATGTATTTTCCAAACAATCATCTCTCGAAGGACATGTTACAGGAACAAGATTTTGCTGTTGTGAATTTTGCGAATTTTGTGAATCTTGAGAATCTTGAGAATCTTGAGAATTTTGTGAATCTTGAGAATCCTGAGAATTTTGTGAAAGTCGTTTCTGTTGTTGTACATCATGTAAATGTTGTAAACTTTGTATACGTATAGGAGCTTGAAATTTTTTAGGTACAGATAATCCGTAAATATCCGGTCCTGAGTAAAAAGGTGATAAAAATTCGACACTTTCAATTTCATCATTAACCCAATAATTTGGTTCCGCACAAACACTATTAGGACGTTTCTTTTTTTCGGATTTTTGAATATTTGAAGTATCATCGGTAGTGGTAGTAGAAGTATGTTTAGAAAAAACTGAAGATGAAGTTAAAGATTTTGAACGTTTCAAACGTTTCTCCAAATTTAATCTAGATATTCGTCGTGAAGTAAATGAAGAACCAGGAATATTTGATAAAACTTTTTTTAAAGAAAATCCTGTAGGATTTTCTTTATTAGATTTATCACTACGTGATAATTGACCTTTTAACCATCTTGTGAAAATAGAAGTTGTATAGGTAGAAGATTCTGAATTATTTTGTGATGACATCGTTTAAAAATATTTTATCCTCAAAAGTTTATCCTCAAAAGTTATTCCAAATTCACCAAACGAACGGGAAAATAGGGGAAAAAATGTATATATATTGAATGATTTTGAATAAAAAAAAAAAAAGATAAGAGGTGGAAATTTATATATATTATATATAATATATATGGACGATAATTTTCAACGTTCGTATGTGATTGGAAAAACTAGTCGGATAAAGAAAACCGGTCGAGATTTTATTAAAATGAGAGAATTATAACGATAATGAAAGAATTAACAAAAGGGAGAAATCAAAGAATAGTGTTTATTAAAAAAAATAGTTTGATATATACATCAAACGGATGATGATAAGAATGATGATACAATAAAGTTAAATTATTGTAAAAAAGTAACAAACCATTTAAAGGGAGAAAAAATAAAAAAAAAATCACCTTGTTCTGTAAAGTTGAAGATTATTATCTTCAACTGGTTGAGTCGAATGGCAATAAAAAAAAAAATAAAAAAAAAGTCTATCGGCTACCACTATTATTATTATTGTGATTTCAAATAATAAATGATGAAAGAAAAATCAAAGGGGCCTTATTGACAATTATATATATATAATAATATGCAAGATTAGAGAACGAAATACCTTAAAGGAAACTTTAAAGGAAACTTTAAAGGAAACTTTAAAGGAACAAGGGATTTCTCTTGTTCAAAAGAACAGAGGCATCTGAAGACTAAAGCCGATATAAATAATAAATGATGAAAGAAGATTTACGAAAAGAAAAGAAAGAGAAGAGACCAAGAGCGACCAACAAGAGAAAAAAAGTTAACTTTACAAATAACTAAACTCTTAAAAAAAAAAAAAAAAAAAAAAAAGAGAAAACACCAATCGTAATTATCGAATAATTTGAAAAATAAAATTATTCAAATAATAATTCGAATAATAATTCGAATAATAATAAATATTATATATATATATACGGAACGAAAAAAGAAATTTTTTTTTTTTTTAGAATATAAGCAATATGAAATTAAAAAAAAGAGATAATCCGAGGCTTATTTATTTATTTATTTATTTACCCTTCAGTAAAAAATTTTTTAATAATAATAATAAACAAAGTACAGTACAATTTTTTTTTTTTAAAAAAAAAAAAAAAATTGTAACAGTCCGAGTAAAGAGAAAAATGATCGACTAGAAACTAGCGTGATTATTTATAACAAAATAGAAAATCACGTATTGCAGTGTATTGGTAATTTGAAATAAAACAGATAATACGAAGTGGTACTGGATAATCGTTATGCGTCAAAAGGATATAAATAAAGTTTTAGTGGCGCAGATACATGTGTTAAGTTGTTATGTACTACGATTAACAAAAGGTTGTTTGGTATTACATTTTTTTTACAATCCCGATAAACACAAATGATATTAGTTGAATTGTGATGTTATAATATATATATGTGTATATATCACATTTATATTATGTCGGATATGTCGGTTACCTGATACGTCCTGTACGTACAGTACTTACAGTTCGTACGTACGTATGTACTGTATCAGATATGTACTGTACGTACGTACGTACGTACCCAAAAAAAAATTAGTCAGGGTCAAACAGGGTATATACGAGGTACCGGTATATGCGATTAAAATCTAATAAAACCTGTTACAAAAAAAATCGTTAGCTGTAAATAAAAAAAATGTTTAGCCATAATTTTGTAAATATTGTAAATACTGTAAATACTGTAATATGATAAACAAATAATTAAAAGCTTTCGAGGAGGTAAAAAAAATATACGAAAAAAGAAAAAGACGAAAAATATACGAATTTACCTGTTTATGAATTTACTTGTTTATTTAAAACAAAATAAAGAGAACCATACATATTGCCCTATATTTATTAGTCTTATAATTTCGAAGGGGGAATATAAAAATGACAAGAAGAAAATAGGGTTTGATTGTTTTACTGAAGGGCTGTGAGAGCTGTAAAAGCTGTGGGCTGATAGAGATGTGAGCTGGTCGATTATAAGAATCGGCATGTAACATGAGCTTCATTCCTTCATCCAGCATACACAGGCATATAATACTATCGTTTCTCCTACTTACGACTACTTACTACTACTTATTACTTACTACTACTTATTACTTACTACTACTTATTACTTACTACTACTTATTACTTACTACTACTTATTACTTACGACTACTTATTACTTACGACGTGCGTACTAATACTAGTCCAATCTTTTAATCAACATGGTAATAAAGAAGAAACGAATAGCAAAGTTTATTGCTTGTTATCTTATATTTGCTACATTTACATACTTATTAGCACATGAATTTATGTAACTTTTCGACATTCATTGTATCTTTATTTGTGTATCCACCAATAGTATTGAAGTATTTATGATTAAAGCTTAAAATAGTCTTAAAATATATCGATATACATAAATGCATAGAAAAATCGAGAATAATACCGGATTGATAAAATTAGTCTTTTTAGCTAACTTGAAAATATGTACTAAAAAAAAAAATATAAAAAAAAAAAGTTTAGATTTTTGGATTACGTTTTTTAGTGCTATATTTTTTTTTAAAAAAAAAAATTACTTAAAAATGATTATTGTAAAGGTAATTGTAAAACTGTAAAGGTAACGAAATTATAAAAGACCTTAAATAAAACTAGTAAAAAAAAGGATATACATACCAAATTTCCGGATATGCTTATACAAACTTGCATATACTATTATACTTAATTTGTCTTAAGTAACCAAAGTTATATTTACTCTAACTTTGTGTAATATAATTCATTGAATGATATATATGAAACATTTCAATGAGATAGTGCAAGATAGTACGATAGATGATACGTAGCAACAGTAAGTGGTAATAAGTAAATAGTTAATAGTAAATAAGTAAATAGTTAATACGTAGTAAATAGAGTATATGAGAAATAAATCATTAGCGTTAGTACAGTACGTATGAAATAATCACAAGGAAATTACTGTTTTCTGAAAATTTTGATCTTGCCGAATGGCCGAATGTGATAAGACATGACTAGTCACGGGTATCCATATTAAGCACCCCATTCAGTATATCCTTAACTTAAATCCTTGTAACTCACGTAAAACCCGATGTATTTAATGAATAAACCTATGCTTGGCAAGCATAACCTTGGCAAACATTACTCCAGCTTTATTTATTTTTTATTAGTTTTTATTTACAATTAAAGAAAAGAATATTTATACCCGTTGAATATAGTTGAGTATCATTTTGAGAATCATTGGGAAATGAAAAATAGTAACATTAAAAAAAAAAATTATATACAATAAAAAAAAAATCGTATATATGTATATACAAAGTTAGTTCAAAAATCTTTTAATTAATTATTAGGTTTTAAACCTCCAATCTCATTTCATATAGATATTAATGTTGAAAGCTTGCCTTTAATTGGTTAATATCAATCATGATTAAACATTAATTAAGCATTTTTTAATTATCAATATACAGTATAACCTTTTTTTTTACAATGAAATATTTTTTTTGGTATGATCTTATTAACAATCTTATACGTACGTACGTATTAAAAAGTTCACAAAGTCACAAACTTCAAAACAATGATACGTAATAACAATGACAATATATACCATTTTTTTTTACAAGTTTTAATTAGAATTCTCAAATTATATAAAAAGAAAAAAATAGAATTCCATTTATTCTTGTAGGAAGATATGCTTCAAAGATATGCGAGTCGACGTATTCACCTCTCACAATTCTATGAAAATAACTAGAAAAGGTCATTAAAAAGCGGGTGTCCGGATTTGGATAACAAAAAAAATGCCACAACATATTCACCTTTCATTGTACCTATACATTGTATTACCGCAGTTTGCCGCATTATTTCATCATTATAACCTTAAAAAACTTTCATGTTATCGTTATTGACACTGACGAATTTTGTTGAATTTTGTCGAATACGTAGTGATTGCCTGTACTACATTTTACCTGCTACTAAATATCTCTAATATTTCAAGTTTCATTTTAAAAACTTTTCAGTTAGGTCGGGTCGAGATCATACCAAAAAAAAAAAAAATTGAAAAACTATTTATTTACTTTATCAATCGGATCTATTTATTATCAAAAGAATTAAGAAATTTCTCTTTTAAAACTTCCTTTTTCAAAATAGTTCTTTGTTATTGATAAATTTGGTTTAAATCGAAAAAGTTTCGGTTCTATTACGATTACCAAAATTAGTTTAATTCATTACCATTTTTTTAAATTAAACAATCTTTATTGGAAATTTATTAAATTAAAAATTTTTTTATGCTTACGGAGTTGATATATAAAGATCTATATTATCTTGGAATATAATTAGCATTCAAGTAACCTATGAGTAACATATACGTAATATCAAATCATGATGGCCCATGTTAAAATAGAAGTCCACATAATTTTTAATAGAAAAAAAAAACAATAATAATAATCTAATATTTATAATTTAAAAGGTGAAAATTAGTTCCAATTCGTTACTTTAGAAAATGATTTATTGTAAATTACTATTTTTGATAAAAATAGATAATTTCAAATTTTCGCTAAATTTCAACAGGAATGTATTTAATTCCAGTTAGTCAGGAATTTAGAAATTATCACAATTTGAGTGATGATTTCATGATAAAAAGAATTTCATTTTGCATCATTAGATTCATTAGGCTCATTAGATTCATTTGATTCGTTTGATTTATTAGTATTAGGTTCATTGATTCGTTCTACTCATTATGTTCATTTAATAGCATATATAATTACAGTATATTACAATATATTACAGTATTATAAAATTATAATATATAAAAACTATTTTGAGTTTAACCCTCACCCTAAATTATTTATAAATCTGCTTAAATTAATTCAAAATATCTAATTTTGATATACTATAAATTTTATATTAATCGTATATACCACCTATACTAAAGATCAATAGTTTCCATTTGACTCGTTCGATATCTAATTCATTAGATTCATTAGA